TTCTTTTGCTTCTTTCATCTATATTTCTGTTTATGTTAATAACTAGGGTCTGTCAGCTCTTCCGGCATTTTTCCTTGGGGTATGATCTGACCGCCCAGCCTGGACGGCCCACGGCCCATGCGTGTGCCTCGTTCATCATCATCCGTTGCTTTTGAATTTCACGCCACTTTTTTTTATCGCAATGGCCAGCAACTCCTTCTCACGCTCCAATGGGACTCTTCTCTAAAGGTTTCCTGAGCCTGCACTGGTGACGAGCCCAAGTGTCTCCAGTCCAACCTGGGAAATGCCGCAAGTGACGCATAGCACGCCCTTGGACTCCGGAGTATACGACGAGCCACAGTATGAGCACTTCAAGCACGGCGCTCCTCGAGGAATGGGGAGGAGAGTACGACAATCGATGACAAAGGCCTGGCGGTCGTCGTATTCGATTGCGTGCTCATTCCGGGCCATTTGCTCACTTTTCTGAAGTACCTTTTGCGCTTTAAGTCGTAGTTCTGCGTTTTTTTCCGATGCCATCTCGGGCATTTCCAGCAGACGGTGGGCAAAAGAGGCAGCGGTGATGTAGTTCTGAAACTTGAATGCCGAGACCATAGCCATGCGGAGCGCAAGCAGAAGGTGAGCGGGTTGAAGGTTACAGTGCGTAAAATATGCCGAAAGTTCTATCTGTCGTACTGCTTGATCCGACGAAAGCTCTGCGATGGCATTCTTGATGCGGATAGCCGTCTTGTACTCCCTGCAGATATCGAGCAACTCCTTCAATTCATTGCTCTCTGCACGTGAGTCTACGACCACCAAGGGTATGGCCGACAAAAGGCCACCCAAGAGGGCTTGCGCCTCAACGAACTTCCCTGCATGAAAAGCCTTGTAGGCATTTTTCAGATCGTCAATAAGTGGCGGGAGGCGATTCGCCTGAGAGGGTAGCGAGGCCGTTCCAGGGTCCTTGTCCTGCGCATTGCGTTGAAGAGGCAGCCGCAGAGAAGCAACAAGTGGCAGACAAGGCAGAGACGAATAAGCTCCTGTGAAAGCCGTGGTAAAAAGTGGCCTCATAGGCGCAAACTCGACGGCTGCGATCTGTCTGTTCAAAAGTTGCATCGCCGTCTCAAAGGACCCTGCCGCCGCGTGATCCGCCGCATGCGAGGAATTTTCGCACCAATGAGCCGTGCAAGATGTTCCAGCTTGAGGGGGGACATAGATGTCTGCGTTTGCGTCGTCCCCCACTGCGAAGCCCTTCTCGCATTCATCTCCCTGGCCCGTCCCGGAAGCACCTTTTCCCCCTGGAGCGGCTAGCTCGCCTAGGTCCAATTCATCTTCCCCCCATCCACTGTCTTCTCCCACGTGTTGATCGCCCCTCCCGTCTTGCCTTGCGCCTGTCCCCTCGTCCAAATCCAGGTCGTCCTCCCAACCGCCCCCGCCGCTGCTGCCGCCCATGTCCTCAAATCCGTACGAAGCCATCGTGGCCCCGGTCACGTTGCCGGAGGGTTTGTGGTCCGAGTAGTCTTCAGGGGGGATGGTGCCCTCGCCGCCAGCCCAGCTTTCAAACGCGCTCTTGTTCGTTACGGCAAGCAGAGGCCAGTTGTCGGTGCGGAAGATGGGAGTAGGGGGCTGCAGGAGCTGCGCGCCCGCGATGGGCAGGCCTGCGGGCACGGGCACTCCTGAGGCCTCAAGCAGGGGAAGAAGGCGCTCTACCTCTTCCGAGAGCCCGTGAGTGAGTGCGCATGCGTATGCCAGAGACAGTTGACCGGTCTGCTCGAGGATGAGCACGCGCTCCCTGACCTCGCCCAGATAGAGCGAGTTGTGAAAGCGAGCCATTGTGTCCTTCCGCATCTCTGCGATCTTGAGCATTTTACGTAGCTTTGTTGTATTACCCGTCAGCAGATACAAAAACGACAAGCGCTCAAAGTTCTTGGTCCGCTGGTAGGCTGCCTCCACGACCGTGTGATTTCCTTGACGCAAGGCCTCGAGGCCCAGCTGATGCCAGCAGTGGTCCTCGTCCAGCTCGTGGGACGTATTCAGCGCTACTTCGATGTTGCCGCAGGCCAAGGCTAACTGAAAGCGCGTCTTGTTGTCTTTCACAAAATGCAGAGCCACCTCTGGAAAGCCCTTTTGTTGTAAGTAAGCGATAATCGCCTGCCCACACATCTTCGTGCCCCGCACCATGCGCATGACTTCTCCGTAGCGACGCTCGCTCAAAGCCAACTTAAACAGGGCCTCGGTCATATCGATTTGGAAAGTTCGCGTTTTGCCCTCTCGGTCCAGGGCATGCAGCGTCTGCCCTTGGCACTTGGTTAGGTAGATGGGAACGTCTAGTGTACGCACGATGCCGGAATCACCGCTTGGAAGGATGTACTTGACATGATTGACTGTGGTGTAAATGAAGACACGCGGGTTGTAGGTGTCCCAGGCCCCGCTCTTAATGCGCACAGTTTCTGTCACGGCGCATTGCTGCTCAAGATTGCGCGTGGCGACGACGAGCGAGTGCTTGCCCATCAGGGCCACCAGAGACCCGTCTTTGTTCCAGAAAATGTATTTGATGCGCGGCGCTTGCAGCTCAGCGATCACACGACGGGATTGTTGCTCAAAGAGCGTGACTTTATCTTCGGAGCGCAAGATCACGCGACCTGAGACGCCCGCGAAGAGGAGACTGTCGGTGTTGGGGTTGGGCGGGGCCATCTTCTTCGTCACCTCGTTTTGAAAGTTTTTGATCAGAACTTGTCTACTCTTGTCGAGCACCGCGAAACGGTTCCGAGCTATGAACACAGCCGCAAGTCCAGGACCGCGGCGCACGTCCTGAGCATCTCCTTGACCGTTGGGCTCGGTGGAAAAGGTTATAAGTTCATAGCTGCCGCCATCCGTGTCGCTATGAACGAGAACGTTGTTCTCAGCGGGGTTGAAGACATTATACTGCAGAGTTCGAATGACGTTACCCAATCCGTTGCTCTGGCTCACCCCCGCCCGACGGAGGGAGACGAGGGGCAGGTCCCGGCCGGACTCAAACTCGTGCAAGCGCAAGTATTTGTCTTTCACATAGAACATATGCAATTCTTCCGCGTAATAGGCCGGTCGTTCCCGTTCCAGCTTGAAAACGATCATGCCGCTGTCATGGCCAGCTGCCAGGAGGTTCTGCTCTGGGTGCGCCGCCAAGATCCAGAAGCGGTCGCTCTCCCGGCGAAAGGTCTGGACGCCCAGGCGCTTCGAAATGTCCCACACGCGGATAGAGCGGTCCTCCGAATTCGAGACAATCAGCTCAAATTTTGGGTGAAATATGACGCAAGAAACGTTGTTCGTGTGGCCCCGCAGAGTGTCCACCTCCCAGGCCTTGGTGTCGTTCATGCGCCAGAGCTTTACTTGCCGGTCGTCCGCCCCAGAGATGACGAGAGGAAGGGTGGGGTGGAAACTCGCCCAATTTACGCCTCGGTCGTGGCCCTCCAATACGTACTTTACAACAACATCACCGCCCCCAAACAAATCGTTGTTCACGCGCGAGACCATGTTGGCTGCGTCGTCGACCGCACCAGGGGCACCCCGCACCGTTTTCTTTCGGAGGCCCGTGGTATCCCACACGCGTACCGTTTGGTCGAGCGAGGCCGACACGATAAGATCTTCTTTTGGATGGAATGCTGCACACATCACATAATGATTGTGCCCTGTCAACACGGAAATGCAAGTGCGAGATTGCCAGTTCCAGACGCGAATTGTCTGGTCATCCGAAGCAGAGACGATCCATGGGTATTCGTTGTGAAATTGTACTGTCCGAATGTAGTCCAAATGACCCAAAAGTGTAAAGAGGCAACGACGAAGCTTGTAATCCCACACTTTGACCTTGTAGTCATCCCCGCCGGAGACGATCAGCGGCTGTGTCTTGTGGAAGTCTACCCCCCGCACAGGCCCGTCGTGCTCGTCAAAACGGTCCAGCAATGTGCCCATACGATAATCCCACAGCTGAATGACCCCATTGTGGAGAGAGGTGATGATCCAAGGCCTGACTGGATGAAAAGATAAACCCTTGACCCGGTTGCTTTTGGACTCAAACTTTGTCAACATGCCGGGGGCTTGACGAACAGCGAAGAACTGTTCAAACGGGAGGCTGCACTAAACTGATGTCTGGTTGACAGTAGCCCAACACGAGGGAAGCGCGCGGACTTGCGCTTGCAATTTTCCTCTCTATTTCGTATGGAGTGCGTATGAGAATTAGTGTATTGATTGCGGCCGTCAAAGCTGAGAGTGAGAAGGAGTTAAGCGGAGAACTCGCCTAAAGACCCATGGCTCCATGGGCGAGGAAATGCCCCGCGTCCGGCCCCCTCATGCCCGCCCTATCACCACACTGCGGCCGAGGCGCATGGCTACGTGCATCCATTTGAGGGTTACAGGCGCGGCTCAAAGCACAAGTGCCACGCTCTATGTAGGCGTGTGTCCCGACGCCTTCGCGCATGTTGTCCGGGAGCACTAAGTCGCCTTGACCATCTCTCCTCTCGCAGAGGCGGGCGACCGATCCGCTTGTGAGGAGCCCGCCCCCGGTTTTAGTTGCCGATGAATGGACGGTGACTCTAATCACTCTGAGCTCTCACACCACACCATCATATTACTGTCATATGTTAAAGGCAATGTGTTTCTTCATCTCTTCCCATTCCCTTTCCGCAGTACGTGCAGTCAGTAGAAACGGAAACGCACGCCGCGCGCGAAGCCAAGCAGCGATGGGCCAAGCGGCCTCTTTCCCATTTGAGGTATCAGAGCCAGCCGATGCTTCGCATTCAGCACGTAATCCTGAAGCCTATTGGAAGCATTTCAAAGGGCGGCGCAAAGCGGATCAAGCAGAGGTTTCCATTCATAAGCTGGACAAGGTTAGCACGCCTCAGCTGAAGGTCGAGGCAGGCCTTCATGGATTCCAAAAGATGAAGACAATGCGACATCCATACATTCTCCAGTATTTGGATGGTGTGGATTTGGAAAGAGAAGTGATTCTGGTTACCGAATCAGTGACGCCACTAGGAGAATGGTTGGCTGGACTGAAAGCAGAATTTCGCGAGGAGCAAGTAGCTTGGGGCCTTCGATGCATCTCGGCTGCCCTGGACTTCTTGACGGGATCCCCGCGCCACATGACGCACGGCATGGTCTGCAGCCAGAATATTTTTGTGACCAAAGCAGGAGACTGGAAATTAGGAGGGCTTGATCTGCTCTGCGAGTGGCGCGAGGGCGGCAAGGACATTTTTCACTTCCAGCTTCACGAGGCCTTGCTTCCTGCCCAATACCGTGCACCCGAGCGTAGAAGCAATGACATGAGGGCGATGCTGAAGGGTTTGCCGGGTGCCCTTGATATTTGGGCCTTGGGAATTCTGATTGGGGAGGTTGTAGAGCAAAGTCAAGGCAAGCCCCCATCTGGAGCACTGGCTAGCATCCAACGCCGGCTCCTTTCGGGGGACAGCTCGGATCGACCCTCGGCCGGTCAAATCTTGCGGCATTCATACTTCTCACCAAGGGGTACTAAGGAGCTGATACGCGTGCTCGATTTTTTGGAAAATTTTTCTTTAAAAGAGGACGGGGAGAAGATGGATTTTTTCAACAGCCTCGTTCAGTCGGTAGCGCGGTTACCCCCGGAGGTCGGGCTCCACAAAATATTGCCCACCTTCCGGGATTACGTGCACGTCGGAGTCGGGGGTAGTGTCTCTAACACGCAAGTCCCCGATCAAGCGCTTGTGCAGCAGCAAGCGCGACAACGTCAACTTGTGCTGGCTGCCCTGCCCGTGTGCCTGGAGATCCTGAAGAGCCTCGACGATGCTGCCTTCGCGGACATGGGGGAGCCTCTACTCGTCAGCCTCTTTGGAATGAACGACCGGGCGATCCGGGCAATGCTCCTGCAGCATCTCCAACCGCTGGCGAGCAAGCTTTCACAGAACAACATCAACGGGCGGCTCTTCGACTCCGTGCTGACGGGTTTCGCCGACAGCGCTCCCCAGCTCCGAGAGCTGACCCTCAAATCCATGCTCAGCTTCAGCCATCGCCTCAACGAGAAGAATCTCAACGATCGCCTCATGCGTTGCCTCACAAAGCTCCAAGTGGACCCCGAGCCCTCCATCCGTACCAACACAACCATCTTCCTGGGCCGCATCGCCGCACAACTCAAAGGCGGCTCCCACGCGCGAGTATTGCTCCCTCCTTTTCTGAAGGCTTGTAGGGATCCCTTTCCACATGCCCGGCTCGCAGGGCTGAAGGCAGCGGCAGCCTGCATCACTTACTTCGACCCCCAAAGCATGGCAACCAAGGTCCTGCCCGTGGTGGCCAGCCTTCTCATCGACGTTGACGGGGCTGTGCGCGATGCGGCCTTTCATTGCCAGGATGTCTTCATCAAGGCCCTCCAAGCGCACGCCCAGAAGATGAAGGAAGACGAGGACAAGCGCCAGAGCCACACGCTTGGCAAGCAAGCGGGGGGAGGAGAAGGGTCCGAAAGCCTGTCCTCCTCAGTGCTCGGTGCGAGCGCTGCCAGCCTGGGAGGGCTTACTTCTTCTGTTGCCGCCTGGGGGGCGCAGAGGATGTGGACCTCGCCTGTGCGCTCTTTGAGCCACAGTGGGAGCAGTGGGGTTGATCGCGACGACCTCGTTTCTAAAGAACTTTGCGAAGCTAGCATGAAGGGCGGCACGAGCGGGCCCAAGCAAAACGAGGATGATTTTTTCGACACTCTCGCTCCCTCCGCCCCCGGGAGTCGCGTGGCCGCAGCTGCTTCTGAGGACTGGGGCATTTTAACGGAGGGGGTGAAGGAGAATGGCTGGACGATGGATGATGATGACGAGATCCTGGGTATGCAATCATCTTTTGGTACACGTAGCGCTGGCGAGAAGGAGAATACCTCCTTGTCCGTCAGCGGCCTTCCAAGGGTTTCCGAGAAGACGGAACATGCAGGAAGAGCGGTCGGGCCAACAACGGCACGAAAAGCGTCCCCGTTGACGCTGGGAGGCTTTAGTAAGGGAACTACTGCGCCGCTCGGAGGGACAGGGACACTTAGGCCTGTGACGGACGACGACCTCTTCAGCATGCTCAACGATCCCAGCCCAGCTCCACCCTCAAAGCACAAGCTAATGGCCATGCAACCGAGTCTGAAAATCCCTTTGTCTATCAAAGATGGTACAGCTGTCTCGTCGCCATTGTCTGTTTCGCTGCCTGAGTCGGGACCGAAGAAAGCAATCGGAACGGGACGGTCACGCCTGCAAGCGAAGAAGCTTGTGGCGTCTAAGACCAGCGACTGGGACGACTTTTGAGAAATTATCCTGAGCGTAAATGCACCACATTAATTACATAAATTAAAGTAACTTGTAATAGACGTGTCTCCTCGACCTGAGGCCCTGTCCCTTGTGTTACTTTGTCGATGTTTCTGATGGGGGCCTTCGGAGTGCCAGATGCCGCTCAAGGTACACCTTCAAGTCTCCAAGCCCGGACAGTGCATCCGTGCTAAGGGTGCGATTTTGTTTGCCATCTCGTCTGCTGAACGTGTAAGACACCCGTACAGAAGTGCCGGTAACGCGAATATCAATGAGAAATGCCTCTGCTTCACAATCCTCTTTCCGGCCTAATAAGACAAAATGTGACTCGGGCGCCGAGAAAGGGAAGGTCACCCAGCGCCAGCTTTCCAGGGTAGTCGGGACCGTAGGATCCTTGACCGTTCTCACAAGCTCATCCAAAAGCATCACCAGTCTATCCACGAAGAGGAGGTGGGAGACTTCGACTGTAAGTCTTGCCAGGATACCCTCAGGATACTCGTCTTCCTGTACCTCGTGCTCTTCGAACGGTTTTCCCCGCCGCGACGTCAGCTCGATTAGACGCACAAAAGCCAGCTGGCAGACTCTATGCAGAGAATCCGACCGTGAGGGCCGCAGCCGCGGACGGCCATCCAATCCTGAGCCAAAACCGATCCCCAGGTGGTGGAAAGGGTTCACCTCAACGACGACCTCCTCGCCTGAAACCTCAACAACCTGATAAGGCGAGCCCACAGGGCGCAGCCTCGCTAGTCCATCGTACGTTTTGTGTCGCCCGTCAATGCTAGATGACTCGTCCCCCACAGCATCTCGCTCTGGAAAAATATTCCTGTCCACCCACGGCTGGGCGGGGGCCGCCACTTCAAGGCGAACGGATTCGAACACCTGGCCCATGTAGGCCTCGTCTTCCAAGGCTTGAAGAGACAATGCCAGGCCACCGGGGCCATCCACTCTACCCGTATCTATAGGCCGCCAGGATGCACACTCAGCGGAAGTACCTTGGGCGCCGTCCGTAAGGTAGACCCGCAGGCAGCTGGTGGGCGGCTGGGAGGGAGCCACCCTTGTTTCTTCCTGCTCAGCCTCCACTCCGGCTCGTCCTGAAACATGCGGGATTCCGCTAGCATCAATCTTCAAAGGAAGGGCAACAGGGCCTTGTTTGGTATCGAAAAGCACTGAAACAGGATCTCCCGCTGATAGCGGTCGGGTCAAAATTGCTTTCAGCCCACCTGCTTGTAATCTCGAAGTGCGACGGAGAGCCGCCATCGTCTTTGTGAGGCGGCGGCCTTTCTGAAGCGTCTCATGCATTCTTTTCACCCATGAAGTCATGTCATTCGCAGCATGTGACATGCTTTTTTTCTTCATTTCAAAAATGACTTCGGGCGCGATGTATGAGACGGGGACTTGGGGAGTGCCAATAGATAGATGAGCATTCGTCAGGCTGTCTTGCCCTATAAAAGAGCGCTCTTCCCGCGCAACGTGCATCAAATCTGCGACGATAAGCAGATCACGCATTGCCTCCTCAACACATTCAAGCGCGGAAGCCAAGTCTTTCTCTGCAGGCTCCAAGGCCCTCCTGGCTGCAGTGGGTAGTTTTGCCCCTCCTCCTGAAAAACCTGTCCATTGCCCTTTCGAACGGAGATACCAAAGCATTGATTGGAACAATTCTGCGGGAGGTAGGGGCTGCGGTGGGTATTCAAAGCCCTCTTTGTCGATAGCTTGCAAAGGTGGCGCAGGATAAGGTTCGAGAGGTGCTGTACTCTCCATCCTCCTCACAAGTAGACTACAGATGTCGATAAGGGCCCCAATATCCTGAGCCGAATATAATCACAGTCCCTTGCAGTGCCTACCCAGTTGCTATAAGCACTGTGCTGAGGAAATTCAATCAAAAACTGGTCAGTCCTGCCATGTTACTGTCCTGATCGTCGGCGATGCTGAGGGACGCTGAGAGGAGATGATCCGCGTGACTGCGTCCAACGTCAGACGGTTTAGAGCAATTTCGCACTGAAAGTGAAGAAACATTTGTATCTTGTCGCCCTGTTCAGATAGTTGCATCTCTTCGGCTGCGGAACCCCCCGTCTTGAAACGTTTTCACGGCTCCGTGGTAACCTCCCCACTCGCTCGCTCTCCTTGCTTCACTTTGCTGGGTCTGCATGCACCCGTGTCTGCCCTGACACTGATTTTTTGCGACCTAAGATTTTCATCATATAAGCTGAATAGATCATGGCTCTCATTTTGACTGTTTCCAACTATCTGGTACGCCCGTCTTGCAGATCAAAGCTTGGTCAAGACTAGTCATGACGGACGATGAGAGAGACGGTGATGCATCTGATGCGGCAGCGCGGCTGTTACAGAGGAAATTGCGCGCAAGCAATCAACGCGAGCTATATAAAGCGCTAAATGTGCCACCTTCAGCATCATCAGAAGAGATCAGAGCGGCTTACTTGCGTGTGGCTTCCTCATATCATCCTGATCGGGTGGACCCCCCCTTGCGAGAGGACTCTGAGGCCCAATTTTTAAAAATCGACAGGGCGTACAAAGTATTGACGGATCCTCTCATGCGCCAAGCATATGATAAATTTGGAGAGCGCGGTTTACGTCTTCTCCAAGCCGTGCCACAACATGAAATGCTACCGCTTCGCTTCCCGTGTGAGGTGGCCTACATTTTAGAGGACCTCTCTGCCGAGGAGATGCAGTACTCTGCATTGAGTGCTCAAGGCTCCTCAGGTACAGTCACGGTGCACATGGAGATACCAAGACCTTTGCAGCCACCCCGTTTGAAACAGTTGTCCGTGGAGCAGCAAGTGGAAGTCCCCTTGACCGGCGCGACGAGTCTGTTCGCCGGGATCTTCGTGATCAACCGGAAGGCTGTGGGGATGGGGATGGGGTACGTGGGTGCACGCTTACAGCTCAGCAAAGCAACTTGGGTATCCTGCACATATTTGCTTAGTCAGAAGAGAAAGCTTACCATAGAATCTTCGCGGGAGCTCTCCGGTGCCGTGAACGTGCGAGCCTCTCTGTCCTGCGCCGAGAACGGGAATCTCGGCCTGAAGTTGGCCTCCTCGCGGCGCATGAGCGCGAGCTTGACGGGCACAGTGGACCTGACAGCAGGAAGTGGGGAGGATGAGGCGATAGGCTTTGGATTGACGTCCTCTAATGGCAAGCGGGAGCTGACGGGCCGGCTGCGAGTGTCGGACTCCGAGGTGGCAGTGAAGGGTATTTACGAAAACCGCATCTCCAACGCCGTGCTCGTCAAGTGTGTAGGCAAGCTTGGCACCCGGGGCGTTGAGTGTCTCTTAGGGGCAACGCGGAACCTCTCCAGCCTGGCGACAATCAACCTGGGTCTGGGCGTGGGAATGGACGGCGTGACAGTCAGCATCCAGGCCCGCAAGGGCCGTCACCACGTCCACGTCCCAATCAAGATCTCTCCGCACCTCGATCCTTGGTCCGTCCTGGTTGGGAGCCTTCTGAGCGCGGGACTTAATGCCGGCCTAGTGCTGCTCGTACGTCCCTTTGAGAAGGCTCGCATACAGCGACAGCTGCGGATGCTGGAGCGAGAGGTCTCGGAGAGACAGGCCCGCGGGCGCCGGAACGCGGCAGCGCAGGTACGGCTCATGGCGGAGGCATCGATCCGCAAGGCACAGGTGGAGAAACGTGCGATGAAGGGACTAGGCGGTCTAGTCATCTTGGAGGCCCGCTACGGCACCTCCAGCATGCCGCAGAAGGCCCCGCCAGACCCAGAGTGGTACCTGCTCAGCCGGGACAAGGAGCAGGCCCTGGACCGGGCAACCGCCTTGGACGTGCGCGTTCCCTTGCAATTTTTTGTGAACAAATCGAGGTTGCAGCTGCCGCCGGGTAGCAAGGCAGGCATGCTGGGATTCTACGACGTGAGCGCAAACCCCACCTGGCTCTACGACCCATCCACGTCCTCGGACGGCAGCGAGCCGGACAAGAGCTCAGCAACCGCCTTCCGGGCGCCTCTGCGGCCTCCACGCCCACCTGAAGCTAAGCTGAAGGCTCGAACGCGCCTGTACGTGCGGTACAGCTACCTGGGAAAAGTGTACGAAGTTAGCGTGGATGATATCGAACCCCTTGAATTACCCCCGATGGACACGTCTCACACCTGCTTGGGCACAGAGGGGCAAGTTAGGTAGTTGGCGTTGCTGCGATTGTTAGAATTCGCACGTAAATATACAAAGAAAATGGTTAGAGTGTCAATCACAACATGCAAAAGGAACTGACACGCAGCTTGGGCAACATGTGCTTCCAAGACTTTTCATTTTTTCTTTTCACCTTACACACCCCTCTGTGGACGAGAGCTACGCGCACTCCGGCCTGTCGCCAGGCAAGAAACCGACCTCCGGCATCCTAATTGACAAAGACAATTGGCCTCATCCCTTTGGCAAGCTCCCGAGCCCCAGGCCTCCTTCTACTCATCTGGAATAGTGATGTCGCCCGAATCGATCTTGGATTGAATTTCCGTAGGTGCCTCCCCCTGCACCGTGCATCCTACTGAGTTTGCCGTTCCCAAGATTTCTTTGACTGTGCCAGACAATGTGCGGGCCATAGAACGAGGCCTCATGGTGCGAGCGATGCTGATGATGTCGTCCATGGTGAGGTTCCCGCTGTGCTTAATGTTCTTCTCCTTCTTCCGGTCGCGCGGGGGCTCCTTTAAGGCCCGAATGATCATCGAGGAGGCGGAGGGCAGCAGTGAAACCGTAGCCTGACGATTTTGGATGGTCAGCTTCACTGTCACCTTGAGCCCTTTCCAGTCCATGGTCGCCTTTTGGATGTCCTCGCCCACCTTCTTGGGGGACAGACCGAGGGGGCCTACTTTGGGCGCCAGTGTAGACGCTGAACCCACTTCGCCTCCGACGGCACGAAGTACGACTATGTAAAGAATGAACAGATGAAATGAACGAGGATTAATGTCACGTTTGCTTGTCTGGTGATGGAAGGCTGTGAACCGCACCACTCATCCACCTCCTCTATCCATAACCTGTCCCGAAAGCGAACTTACCAGTCTTGATCTCACCGGGAGCCGCAGGAGGAGGGCCCATTGTGCTAGCAAGAAGTGTGTCTGTGTTAAAAAGATGTCGAAATGTTGCGTCTACAGTGTGAATGAAATTGACTTCGGGTATACATCACCGGCAAGGAGGAACGGGTAAGGAAAGGAGCAGGGGGACGACATTGCACCAAGAAGGTCGAACACGCTCCCACCCAATTAATGCGACCGCGGAAAAAGCAGCCCTACGACCATCGATGCGCTTTGCAAATGATCTCAATACGCGCTAAGGCACGTTTTGTCGTGTATGGCGCTCGCGGCGCGTTCTCTACCCCTCGCTCCCTCCAGCCGCCACCCACAGCCACCCGCCGAAGGGCCTTTTCCATCACATCATCGCCGTCATCACCGTCACCGTCATCAGCATCCTCCTCCCCGGTTTCCCTGCCTCAGCGAGGCGGTACGCCCGGCTTCGGCTTAACTGCAGCGCGATGCAGTCCGATTTATCGCATCTTTTCGTGTCGTGCAGCTACAAACTTAGCCATGGCGCTCTTGACGGTACCCTTGCCACTTCAAAAGCCAAACAGGTGCTTCCAGGAGCCACTAGCTCATCACGCGAGAGGGGTCTGTTATGTCACGTAAGGTAAGATGGGTGGTATTTATGCTTGTACCACTAAAGGATGAATTTACCACGAACTTTTTTGCAAACATCCCAGCTCCTCGTTGCAAAGAGCCTGTCTGAAGCCACGCGGGCGGGGAAACGCTTGCGGGAGTTGATACTTTCCTCAAGTGAAGATTTGAGATGTGTCAATCTGATGTGTGAGAAAGTCGGGGAGCCATGCATCTGCCGACTTGCCAGGACCCTTTCGCAAACACCTGCCCTCGAGCGCCTTGTCCTGAGCAATAACAATCTTACGGTCTTACCGGAGGAAGTGTTCAAACTGCAAAGCCTTCGGTATCTAGATTTGTCAAACAACCTTTTGCGGGAGCTCCCGCCTTCCGTCCTACAGCTGTCTAGCCTCGAGGTGCTGTCTGTGGACGAGAATCTATTGGCGGATAGTTCTACTGGCAACATTGTAGTAGACGATTCGAAAAAGCAAGTACGTCAATTTATAAGAGAGAGAACGGCGGTACCGAGCTGTAAAACAACAAAGTAATGTTATCGTAAACGTGGGGTTTCTGATGTGGCACGTCTCCTCAAGCCCTCGTACTTATTTTGCCTTGGAGCCGTTTCGTCTTTCCAGTGGACGCCTGTTCCTCAAAAAGTTCGTGAGCACATTTGAGCATCGATCCTATCTCTTCGTCGCTAGGCCGCCCCGTTCCTCTGTGATGTCGAGGGGAGGAACCGTGAGAAGGGACGATTCGTTCCAAGCTGTTCGCTTCGAGATCCTTACCTCCAGCGCATGCGCCCAAGCTTATCAACCAAGAAAACGTAGCCAACCATTCGGTTGTCGATTCCCATGCCTTCGCGAATGTCCTGAGTGGATCCAAACCGCAAAAAGGATTGTCCGTGGCGCTCGCGCTCAATGCTAGCCTTCTGCCCGTTCACGAGGAGGAATTTAAGCAGCTACGTGTTTCGTTGTGAAAATGATGAGCATGACTGGTAAAGGTTGCCAATAGCACACAGGGTCAGAGGGCTCCTCACCTTCAGCCAACTTCTGTCCTCGAATGAGACCTGTAACACCGTCATTGCCGGGGTCTGCGCAAACTCCTCGAGGAAAGGCTTTATCCAGTCAGGAAGTACACGGAAACCGGAGTCCCGAAATGATACTCCCACAAGCGAAACCTGGTTATTCGTCTGCCTGAGAAGAGCCCCGAATTGGTGTGTCACCCCCAGCAGTGACTCAGCCTGGAAGGATGGGAACTTGAGGGCTTTCTGCGGCGGCACCAACTCCTTGTCCGCCTCAAATAGTTTACTTTTCGTCCGATTGATCTGGCCCAATTCGTAAAAGTAACCCCGTCGAATTTCTTCCTTGATTTTTTCTACCTTTTTCAAGCGTGCGGCTTCTTTATCCGATATATCTGGCGGCAGGTCGGGCTTTGGATCGATGCTGCCCTTGTAAGCTCCCTGACTCGAGGGTTTTCCGAGCCGGGCTGTACTAGTGCTCCCAATTCCGCGCGTAAAGTCGCTTTTAAAAAAAAATTACGCGTAAGGGCTTATTACATCAATATTAAAATATTGGCATTGTTGGATTAGCTCCTACACTACCGATTTACCTTCTAGCAATCTTGGATAACTCAAAGGTCTGCATCAAGGACAGGGGAGGTTGAACCCTCCCGCGCATTATCTTGAGTGTGTGCATGACCAATTTGCTGTTGTGCTATCAGTAAAGACGCAGATTGAGCAATCTCCTCATAAATTGCTGCACGAGAGGCCTCATGAGGACGATTCCCAGGACAACGAGTGATGAAAAGGGCGTAAGCAAGAACAGCGATGCCGCAAGGCTTCAGCTCCGTTGCTTCTCCTTTCGTAGGTCTACTCTATCCACGCAACACGCGAACGCGGCCTATACACACAACACTGACTCTCACAGGCATTAGGACGACACATAGAACTCAAATTAGGAATGCAGTTGATGAGTGGAAGGCCTGGACTTCTAGGGATCGTGTTCATGATCATGCTGGCGAACAAAACTTTTGCTTTTCGAGTACCCGGGAAATTCTCGTT